ATAGTTAAACCCATCCCCGTGACAGTGTCAACAACAATCATAGTTAAACCATCCCCATTGACAGTGTCAACAACAATCATAGTTAAACCCATCCCCGTGACAGTGTGACAGTGTCAACAACATCATCAGTTAAACCCATCCCCGTGACAGTGTCAACAACAACCATAGTTAAACCCATCCCCGTGACAGTGTCAACAACAATCATAGTTAAACCCATCCCCGTGACAGTGTCAACAACAACCATAGTTAAACCCATCCCCGTGACAGTGTCAACAACAATCATAAGTTAAACCCATCCCCCTGACAGTGTCAACAACAACCATAGTTAAACCCATCCCCGTGACAGTGTCAACAACAACCATAGTTAAACCCATCCCCGTGACAGTGTCAACAACAACCATAGTTAAACCCATCCCCGTGACAGTGTCAACAACAATCATAGTTAAACCCATCCCCCTGACAGTGTCAACAACAACCATAGTTAAACCCATCCCCCTGACAGTGTCAACAACAATCAGAGTTAAACCCATCCCCCTGACAGTGTCAACAACATCATAGTTAAACCCATCCCCGTGACAGTGTCAACAACAACCATAGTTAAACCCATCCCCGTGACAGTGTCAACAACAATCACAGTTAAACCCATCCCCGTGACAGTGTCAACAACAATCACAGTTAAACCCATCCCCGTGACAGTGTCAACAACATCACAGTTAAACCCATCCCCGTGACAGTGTCAACAACAATCATAGTTAAACCCATCCCCCTGACAGTGTCAACAACAATCACAGTTAAACCCATCCCCGTGACAGTGTCAACAACATCACAGTTAAACCCATCCACGTGACAGTGTCAACAACAATCATAGTTAAACCCATCCCCGTGACAGTGTCAACAACAATCACAGTTAAACCCATCCCCGTGACAGTGTCAACAACATCACAGTTAAACCCATCCCCGTGACAGTGTCAACAACAACCATAGTTAAACCCATCCCCCTGACAGTGTCAACAACAATCATAGTTAAACCCATCCCCCTGACAGTGTCAACAACAATCATAGTTAAACCCATCCCCTTGACAGTGTCAACAACAATCATAGTTAAACCCATCCCCGTGACAGTGTCAACAACAACCATAGTTAAACCCATCCCCGTGACAGTGTCAACAACAATCATAGTTAAACCCATCCCCCTGACAGTGTCAACAACAACCATAGTTAAACCCATCCCCGTGACAGTGTCAACAACAACCATAGTTAAACCCATCCCCGTGACAGTGTCAACAACAACAACCATAGTTAAACCCATCCCCCTGACAGTGTCAACAACAACCATAGTTAAACCCATCCCCGTGACAGTGTCAACAACAACCATAGTTAAACCCATCCCCGTGACAGTGTCAACAACAACCATAGTTAAACCCATCCCCCTGACAGTGTCAACAACAATCATAGTTAAACCTATCCCCTTGACAGTGTCAACAACAATCATAGTTAAACCCATCCCCCTGACAGTGTCAACAACATCACAGTTAAACCCATCCCCCTGACAGTGTCAACAACAACCATAGTTAAACCCATCCCCCTGACAGTGTCAACAACAATCATAGTTAAACCCATCCCCGTGACAGTGTCAACAACATCACAGTTAAACCCATCCCGTGACAGTGTCAACAACAACCATAGTTAAACCCATCCCCTGACAGTGTCAACAACAATCATAGTTAAACCCATCCCCGTGACAGTGTCAACAACATCACAGTTAAACCCATCCCCGTGACAGTGTCAACAACAATCACAGTCAAACCCATCCCCGTGACAGTGTCAACAACAATCATAGTTAAACCCATCCCCGTGACAGTGTCAACAACAATCATAGTTAAACCCATCCCCGTGACAGTGTCAACAACAATCATAGTTAAACCCATCCCCCTGACAGTGTCAACAACAACCATAGTTAAACCCATCCCCCTGACAGTGTCAACAACAATCATAGTTAAACCCATCCCCGTGACAGTGTCAACAACATCACAGTTAAACCCATCCCCGTGACAGTGTCAACAACAATCACAGTCAAACCCATCCCCCTGACAGTGTCAACAACAATCATAGTTAAACCCATCCCCGTGACAGTGTCAACAACATCATAGTTAAACCCATCCCCGTGACAGTGTCAACAACAATCATAGTTAAACCCATCCCCCTGACAGTGTCAACAACATCACAGTTAAACCCATCCCCGTGACAGTGTCAACAACAATCATAGTTAAACCCATCCCCATGACAGTGTCAACAACAATCATAGTTAAACCCATCCCCATGACAGTGTCAACAACAACCATAGTTAAACCCATCCCCTTGACAATGTCAACAACAATCATAGTTAAACCCATCCCCCTGACAGTGTCAACAACAATCATAGTTAAACCCATCCCCGTGTCAACAACAATCATAGTTAAACCCGTCCCCCTGACAGTGTCAACGTTTGAGACAAAATGATACCTATGAATTGCAATCTAACACAAAAACAAATAGACATAAAAGAATCAAACCAACGCGGACTGCAATAAAAACAACAGACCAACTCTAGGAAGAAATTGCATAATTTGTGTCACAAAAATAAAAAAGTTGTTTAAGAAACTGTCATCGTTTATTTGTGCATTTTACCAGTTTGTTACAAGGGCGCAGTGGCAACTAAAGGAACAGCACGAAATGCGAGATGCACGTGCGTTAACGGGTTCTCAACAAAGTTTTGAGCCTGCGATATGACACGTACCCCAGCTGCACAGGCAGTGCGCTGTATGTACTTAGTAATTGCATACTTGGGTCACCCCCTGTCATTTTCATCCTTGAAGAAATCATAGACTTCGTAAATCATAGACCTTCATTTTCTCTCACTTTGTCAATCAGCAGTAATCACACGTCTCTGACGTCACTAATGCACGTGCATCTCGCTTTTCGGGCTGTTCCTTTAGTTGCCAATGCGCCCTTGTATCAAACTTGGAAAACGCACAAATAAATTATGACAGTTTCTTAAGCAACTTTTTTATTTTTGTGACACAAATTATGCTTTCTTTTTCTAGAGTTGGTCTGTTGTTTTTATTGCAGTCCGCGTTGGTTTGATTCTTTTATGTCTATTTGTTTTTGTGTTAGATTGCAATTCATCGGTATCATTTTGTCTCAAACGGACTATAAAACGCGTCTCATGACAGTGTCAACAACAAACAAAGTTGAGCACATCCCCGTGACTCAATAAGAACACTGAGAACACTGAGAACACTGCTTATGGATGCAAAAAATGTGCTTGTAATTGTTTTGTTAGTGTTTCTAGTTTCCTAGAAAAATCTGTTACTTTTTTCCGTTTCTTTTTTTCCTGTTACTTTTTTTCCGATCACCAAAATGAATATCGTTGCAGGTTCAATATGTGTTAAACATGCGCCGTGTTTCCATGCAGTTATGCTCTCGTGGTACAGTTCAGCACATTAACTGTGACATAACTACGACGCCACTCAAAACACTGTCTGCACGACAATCAACAACCTCTACCAACATAGACTGGGGTTCACTCAAACTACAAGAGTTAAACCTAAGGTAGAACCTTAAATGAACAAACCTACCGAGTCCATTTATCCAAAATACTACTGAATGTACAATATGGAACAAGTTTTTATGGATAACAACTTCTTTATTTCGTGAGTGAGTCCATAAAAACTTGTTCCATATTGTACGTCTCAACTTCTAAAATGCCACTCAAACAAGTTACTACTGAATGTGTCTTACAAAATGACCAGCTAACCTTCCTGAATCAGCGATCACTCTACGTCCATTCACCATGACGTTAACCACTGGATATTATAGTCTATATTCAACTTAATCACATGTTGTGTTGGTGGACCTCTCAGCTATAATCGTAAATAAACGACGGCAAACATGCCTCCCTCATAATTACATGTTTATGTGCGTGTTTAGACCCCGCCACAAGTAAAGGATTCAGTGCGACTATATTACATCCATAAAAGGTAGTTTGAAAAAGTACGTAAAGATGGTAATTATCCGGTGTGTTATGTTCCGTAAAGAGCACACGGCCAGCGTACGATTCCTCCCATATCCTACATAAAAGATCGTTGGTATATGGTCTCTTGTTTAACTCTGACAGTCGAGGAGCTTTAGGTACTGAGTGAAACATCGTCAGTTACAAAGAGGTATATGAACTTGAGGCGCTTCTACTTAAATATATATCTGCCTCTTATAGGAAACTGAACGCGTGAAACAGATATGTGAAGATGTGTGGATCTCGAGGCTCTATTGCGTACTGCATGTGTACTTGCCGAACACTTACAAGAGCTTATGCGTAGAGCGGGAACTACCTTGATACAATTAACAGAGGGCCAATGAGTTTGCAGATATACACAAAGATGCATTCAAAACTTTTTTGTCCGTTTGAACAGTTGTAAAAAGTTAGTTCATACCGGATGACGCAAATAGGCCATGTTTACTTTATTAGTCACTGTTGAATTTTACAAGTCGTTGTCAGTCAAGAACATAGTGAAGAATGTATTTCTGAAATATTTTAAATGTTTGAATGATAAGATCACATTGACCTGAGCGTGGCGGGTCGAATTATTTGTTATTGTGCTTTGCGCCAAGATTCCAGTGATGTGCGCCGACACACGAGTTTACAGGTGTATATTTTTAGCTTTCAGGTCTTGGCATCTGCCCATAACAGACTGGGTTAGTCTCTAAGCGGCTCCCTGTCTTCCTCCTCTCAGGGAACTTTCAGAATACAGCGTGAGATTTATTTCCGCCTTACCACAGATGTATGCGCGAAAGTAAAGAGTGCGCCTTATGGGCTAAATCATTATTTGATGGGAGAATTATCCAGAACCTGTATTCACATACCTTGTTTAATTATACGAGATAACCATATTGCATGAATGAGGTTGAATTTCAAAGAAGTTTCATTTCACGAAGCGATCCGGTTAACACTTTCTGGAGTGACTCACATATTCCTACGCCGAGTAACCGGAGCGCCATTGTAATGGCTGAAAGAAAGGTTGTATGGACTGAAGCTCACAGTTATTTACGGAATTCCGGACAATAGCGGAGTATTTTCCGCTGTTGCTGGCCATGGCTGATTACGCCGAGGAAATCGACAAAGAAGTGTCTCGGTATAATGAAGATCTGAACTTGTTTGAGGTCCCACACCCTCAGAGTTACTGGCGAGAAGTGACAGCCAAGCGGTCGGATACCACTGCAGGAGATGCGTTTCGTAGCAAACAAAGTGTGTATATGTCTCACGTTCACCAAAAACAAAGTCAACTTCGATACTCGCCAAAGACAATGTTTTACTCTAACACCGAGCGATCGGCTAGCATTTCGTCAACGTCACACGACGGTAAACCGCCGATACCAGCATCAATGATGCTCCCCCAGCATCCGATCGCCATCGGGATTCCTCACCCCCAGGGAAAGCTGAGCCCCCCGGGGAACGAAAACAGGGGGATATACATTGGAAATACACGTTACCCTGCACCTAAAGCAGCTATGATGAACAATTCTGTGAGCCAGAGTCAGTCCTTTGGAAGTATGCAACACACAGTTTATGCCAATCTTCCCATTGTGAACAATGTGAATGTCTCCAGGCCTGGAACAAACTCGAACTATTCCAGTCCACGATCAAGTGTTGGGAGTGGGGGTGAGTCAAAGAGCTCCAGCCCTCGGGCAAGTCTCACCTATCCACCTCCACCATATGATCAACGATTTGGCAGCCCAAGATCAAGTATTGCAAGTCCCAGATCAAGCCTAAGTGCAAATTCGTTGGAATCCAAACATTCAAGTCCCAGGACTAGTCTTACCGGAGTACTTCTGGATAAGTTTCCCAGCCCACGGACAAGTCTATCCTCCCCTCAGGATCGCATACCAATTCAGCGTATTGTGGGTAATAATACCGGATATAGTGACCAGGAATTGTATAATTTATCTATGTCTGGCCATAGTGCTCATCAGTATCCCCAGAGCTATACTAGCCTTGGACCAAGAAGCGTTTCCTTGTTAAGTGACAACCGTTTTAATGAGCCGGCACCCCCAATATATACCGATCCTCGTCTTCGAACCCTGCCACCCCAGGTGCAGGCTAGTGTGCACACCATGGGCTATGCCAACCCTGTCCCTACATCACGATCTAACCAGTCAGTGAGCATAAATTCCACCCAGAATGGAAACCATGTGATTTCGAATTCCCTCCCGATTAATAGTACTGCAGTAGTGAACAGCTTGTCCCAACCTAACGTGACCGGTCCCAGCCACCTGGGCCAGACCCCCCCAGTGATACCTGCACGGGTCCCCCTCCACTATGAGACGGTACCCTCCAGGTCGGCAGGGCCCTCTGATGCTGAAAAGAAGATAGCTGCTTTAACCCAGCAGCTTGAACGTGAAATGCAAATTTCAGGATCTGTGTCTAAAAAGTCCCCTGACTCTCCCTCCGGCAAGATGCCCCTTCCCCCACCCTACCATGGCCCCCATGATGTAGAGGTCTTCCCTGGATCATACACCCAGAGGAATGCCGTGCGACTAGTGGCCCCAATACAGGGGGTACAGGTCCAACGGTCAGGCAGTGTACCCATCACTCCACCCACCCAGCCTGGCTCCCCGGGGATTAAACCTCACCTTCACTACCAGGTTACCCCACCTAAATCCAAGGGGCCATCAGAGGCCGAGAAGAAGTTGTCAGCTTTAACACAACAACTTGAAGAGGAAATGGAAAAGTCACCCGTTGGTGAATATTTTGGTAAGTGTAAAAGGTTGTCATTGGCTCACAGTTCTTATATTATTTATCGTCTTGGTCTGTATGTTTATTTTTTCAGTATTCACTTAGCAACTGGTCTCTCTCATGAGTAAACCAGCAGATCCGCCAGATGTTTGAAAACTTACTGTACCATAACATGCCATATCCACATAGCTTGAATGTCGTCACTTCATGGTACTTTGTCATTTATGGCAATGTATTATTCACAGCTATTAAATGTGAAGAAATCTGACATCACATTTTGTTATTTGACACTACTCATATTTTTAAGTGTGATGCTTGTTTAAAATGATTTATTGTCAAATCAAAAATGTAACACCTTCAGTGTGGAGCTTTGATGTAAAATGGCCTCCACAGTGCTATGAGAAATAGACTGTATTCAATACGCTTTATCAACATTGTGTTAAATGATGTCACAATATACATATTCACAATATAGTGTTGGTATTATACCACCTTTATTATGTCAGCTTTAACTGTCACAGATTGTTAAACAATGTTGAAACTGACATTGTTGGGTTAAATAGTCTCACATGTGATACATTTTATCAAAATGACATGTTTATAAACAACACAGTTGAGAGTTGGTATGATATGACAGTTATGACACGATCTGTTGACAGTATGTACCAGGTAGTACAACAGTGTAGAGACAGGGGTATGCCAGTGTACTGCTGGGACAGTTTCAGACATTGCCACAGCTAAGATATTATTGATTAGGAAATTCCTTACAAGGAATATTTTCTCTCAGCCTTGGATTGGAAAGGTCACATGCTATTTCAAGATCTCAAACTAAATATCCCATTATGTAATCATAAAGTATAATACTCCACAATAAGATGTCTGTCTGTGGTTCCTGTGCTGCCTAGAGTGCTATGTGGTTAGGGGGTTACTAGATTCTACAACCCACACACCTTGTGGGAAGTGTTCACAACACAGTGATACATTATGTATGAAAAAGCTGAATGATTGAGTGGAACAGTTTGGGTTCACAAAAGAACCATTGATTTAGTCCAGCTCAGGAATGCCTACCTTTGTTGCTGACATTGCAGGTTAATGATGGATTAGGGAAATAGTATTTTGACAGGAGGTCTGTAGTTGGATTGTAAACATTAGTGGGAGCTGTGAACAATTTGTCTGACTTTAGTTGACTGTTGTAGTTTTTGTTGTAGTTTTTGTTGTGGTAGTGTGAGGAGTTCATCAGCATCACGTTTGTAGTCTGAGTGAATTTAAGGATCATAGATATTATTTGAATCAAAATTTTGTTTTGAAAAGTTTAATGTATATGATGCTGGCTATATGTAACCATGGTTACACAAAAAGGGTTGGTTCCCATCTGTAGATGTAGTGTATATGTTTTGTTGTCTCGTGTACTTTGTCTTCTTGGTATTTTGATAGCTACCCAGGACTCTTTCGCCATCAGTTTTCAATTTTGAGACCAGTTCATATGACACAGTCGCCATGATATTGCTGGAATATTGCAAAAAGCAGCATGAAACTAAACTCACTCACTCATATGGTACGGTGATGAAATATTTTTTAAATAAGCATTTCTTGTTAAGAGGAATGAATGATGAAGTGACTTTTCTGAAACCTAAATATAGTGGCGAGTAGTACCAAAAATAGAATGTGGATATGGTTGTCGAGATGGTGAGGGTGTTTATGCTGCACAGTGCCTGAAGGGCACACTTATTTCTTGAATAATTCCTTGTGACTTGGAGAACATGGATGGCATAATCATCTGATGTGCCTAGTTGTGCCCTCTGGACACTGCAGAAGCCAATGACTGTGGGTACCCATCCAGGTCTGCCCGCATCTTGTGGCCAACATCGGAGGCCAACATCGGAGGCCAACATCACTGCATGCATTCCTCTCCTATTACTTTGGTTTGTTGTTTAACCCGCACTCAGCGATATTCCAGCGGTATGATGGAGTCTGTAAATAATCAAATCTGGACCAGACAATCCAGTGATCAACAGCATGAGCATCAATCTAAGCAATTGGGGTGTGGTGACCCTGACCACCTGATACCGTTTCTCGTTACTCTTGCAACAAGCATGGGTTACTGAAGACCAGTTCTAACCCAGATCTTCACAGGCCTTCTCCCATTAAGCTGACACACCATGATGTGACTGGAACACTTGTCAACGCAGCAAAAAACTAAACACATTTACTTCTTATGACGATGGTCATTAATATATGAAACTAAACACATTCACTTCTTATGGCGATGGTCATTATTATATAAAACTAAACACATTCACATCCTATGGCGATGGTCATTATTATATAAAACTAAACACATTCACTTCTTATGGCGATGGTCATTATTATATAAAACTAAACACATTTACTTACTATGGCGATGGTCATTATTATATGAAACTAAACACATTCACTTCTTATGGCGATGGTCATTATTATATGAAACTAAACACATTCACTTCTTATGGCGATGGTCATTATTATATAAAACTAAACACATTTACTTCTTATGGTGATGGTCATTATTATATAAAACTAAACACATTCACTTCTTATGACGATGGTCATTATTATATAAAACTAAACACATGGCGATGGTCATTATTATATAAAACTAAACACATGGCGATGGTCATTATTATATAAAACTAAACACATGGTGATGGTCATTATTATATAAAACTAAACACATTCACTTCTTATGGCAATGGTCATTATTATATAAAACTAAACACATTCACTTCTTATGACAATGGTCATTATTATATAAAACTAAACACATTCACTTCTTATGGTTATGGTCTTATATTTATATAAAACTAAACACATTCACTTCTTATGGTCATGGTCATTATTATATAAAACTAAACACATTCACTTCTTATGACGATGGTCATTATTATATAAAACTAAACACATGCCGATGGTCATTATTATATAAAACTAAACACATGGCGATGGTCATTATTATATAAAACTAAACACATGGTGATGGTCATTATTATATAAAACTAAACACATTCACTTCTTATGGCGATGGTCATTATTATATCAAACTAAACACATTCACTTCTTATGGCGATGGTCATTATTATATAAAACTAAACACATTTACTTCTTATGGCGATGGTCATTATTATATAAAACTAAACACATTCACTTACTATGGCGATGGTCATTATTATATAAAACTAAACACATTTACTTCTTATGGGTCATGGTCATTATTATATAAAACTAAACACATTCACTTCTTATGGCGATGGTCATTATTATATAAAACTAAACACATTCACTTCTTATGGCGATGGTCATTATTATATAAAACTAAACACATTCACTTCTTATGGCGATGGTCATTATTATATAAAACTAAACACATTCACTTCTTATGGCGATGGTCATTATTATATAAAACTAAACACATTCACTTCTTATGGCGATGGTCATTATTATATAAAACTAAACACATTCACTTCTTATGGCGATGGTCATTATTATATAAAACTAAAACACATTCACTTCTCTATGGCGATGGTCATTATTATATAAAACTAAACACATTCACTTCTTATGGCGATGGTCATTATTATATAAAACTAAACACATTCACTTCTTATGGCGATGGTCATTATTATATAAAACTAAACACATTCACTTCTTATGGCGATGGTCATTATTATATAAAACTAAACACATTCACTTCTTATGGCGATGGTCATTATTATATATAAAACTAAACACATTCACTTCTTATGGCGATGGTCATTATTATATAAAACTAAACACATTCACTTCTTATGGCGATGGTCATTATTATATAAAACTAAACACATTCACTTCTTATGGCGATGGTCATTATTATATGGTCAAACTAAACACATTCACTTCTTATTCACTTCTTATGATGGTCATTATTATATAAAACTAAACATTCATTCATTACTTCTTATGGCGATGGTCATTATTATATAAAACTAAACACATTCACTTCTTATGGCGATGGTCATTATTATATAAAACTAAACACATTCACTTCTTATGGCGATGGTCATTATTATATAAAACTAAACACATTCACTTCTTATGGCGATGGTCATTATTATATAAAACTAAACACATTCACTTCTTATGGCGATGGTCATTATTATATAAAACTAAACACATTCACTTCTTATGGCGATGGTCATTATTATATAAAACTAAACACATTCACTTCTTATGGCGATGGTCATTATTATATAAAACTAAACACATTCACTTCTTATGGCGATGGTCATTATTATATAAAACTAAACACATTCACTTCTTATGACGATGGTCATTATTATATAAAACTAAACACATTCACTTCTTATGGCGATGGTCATTATTATATAAAAACTAAACACATTCACTTCTTATGGCGATGGTCATTATTATATAAAACTAAACACATTCACTTCTTATGACGATGGTCATTATTATATAAAACTAAACATTCACTTCTTCACTTTTTATGGCATGTGATGGTCATTATTATATAAAACTAAACACATTCACTTCTTATGACGATGGTCATCATTATATAAAACTAAACACATTCACTTCTTATGGTGATGATCATTATTATATAAAACTAAACACATGGCGATGGTCATTATTATATAAAACTAAACACATTCACTTCTTATGACGATGGTCATTATTATATAAAACTAAACACATTTACTTCTTATGGCGATGGTCATTATTATATGAAACTAAACACATATGGCGATGGTCATTATTATATAAAACTAAACACATTCACTTCTTATGATATTATTATATAAAACTAAACACATTCACTTCTTATGACGATGGTCATTATTATATAAAACTAAACACATTCACTTCTTATGGCGATGGTCATTATTATATAAAACTAAACACATTCACTTCTTATGGCGATGGTCATTATTATATAAAACTAAACACATTCACTTCTTATGACGATGGTCATTATTATATAAAAC